AGAACCTTTTGAAGCACCTTTATTTTTAAGAGTGTAGGTCTAATTGTTGCTCACTGCACTCCTCAAAACCAGCTAATAAACAACTAACATTATGACAAGATTTGTATTTTATTCACTGGCCGCTGATTACTTCCTAAACGCATCCCCCGAGATGCATATGTTAAGCATTCCTATTTTGGATGTTAGTCGAGAATGCTTTATCTTTAAAGGTGGAAAACACCTCCTCCTTAACTTGCTGCTCTAGTTTCATGTGGTTACATAGCATCTGAAGCAGAATTAATCTGACTCATTTCTGACACATCCTCTGTTCTACATTACCTCATACTCTCAGGCTTGTCGATCTGTCGACTAAATCATGCCTTCAGATTTCATTTCTGCCCAGTTGATTCTACAATTCAAACCCCTCTTTCTCAATATCTGCTTATTCATTCCCCTGCAAATGTATATAAGTTGTGACTACATCCATTATGCCCTTTTAGCTTTTCATTCGTTCTGTAACTCTCATGAGTGGGCGAGATAGACTCACTCCGGTTGTCTTTGCTCTGGAGGACGGGAGTGTAGAAGTTTTTCGAAGTCCGCCCCTGCGTGCCCTCACTGGAGGTTGCGGTTGTGAGGACCGTGCTGTTGTTCCTCTCTCCTTGCTGGACCGGGCTGGACTGGTGACGCAGAATGTCCACCAGCGCTCTGAAGAGAGAGAGATAAACAGTAAAAATGAAGGATGAGTGTATGACGGAATCAAAAGGCAAAAGCTGAAAGAGCCTGACATCAAAATCACTACAGATCTCTTCAGATTGCAGTCACTGATGCAGACTCAGATGTGTACAGCATTGTATCCTTCCAGCCCGGTCATAATGGGCCTTTCACTCACCTAGGCATGTTGATGTCTCTGTTCCTCGGTCGTCGAGACAGTTTATGGAAGGCCACTTTAACCCCAATGGCCATGGCCATGGTAAACGAGATGACTCCCCCAATGACGTAAGCCGTGTTGTTGTTCTGTTGCTGCAGTGGGTCGAAATCTGGGTCGTGTCGGACCGGGGGCTGGGTGATGGGTCCCGCCGTGACGGCCCAGTCGGG